GGCGGCGCGCGCTTCGCGCGCGCCGCCAATTTATTTTTAGTTAATAATTAGTAACCGCGCGAAACGCTTTTTCAAGATGTGCTCGGAATTGTTAGACGATGCATAGCCTTGCTATGCGGAGCTGCTCTAGCCCCCACTTCAGCTTCGAAGTGTCCTGTGCTTGCCGAGCTTGATTCCGCGCACTTCCTGTGCTAGCAACTTTTCCATCTTGCCTGCTGCTAACTGCACTGTTCCGAAGTCAAAGTTGAACGTCCAGCCGCACCAAGTGACTTCGTGGCCCAGCTGTGCTTTCTTCCAGCTGATGGGTGCGTGGATGGCAGTTAGGAAGCAGATCAGCAAGGCCAGCTGTTCCACGAAGGCGAGCAGGTCATCGACATGGATCCATGCCAGACGTTGCCACCAGTATGCCGAAAACTTGACAGACCACGTAGTAGAGTTTATTTTGCTATGCGAAAAAGCATGCATCCTTGGTTCTTGGTGCGGAGCTTGATGCCCTTGTGCGCTGCATTGAAGTCCAGGGATACTGCCACGAACGCTCCATGTGGGTCGCCGTGCTGGAAGGCGTGCCACTCCGTGCCACGTCCAGGCCGGGTCTTTCATTCTGAGGGTCCACCGCCTCCGCTTGGCGTTGAAATTGACCTGGACCCAGGTGGTCTTCGTGATATCAGCTACAAGGAGGCGGAGGGAGCGCCGACGGAGACAGCATCTGCAGCGGGCAGGATGGATGAGGAGCAAGAAGACTCGAACTCTACGTGCCTACAGCTTCCACTTCAGGTTCAGCAGCGCTGGAGCAAGGAGTTAGCACAGGCATCTTTGAGCCAATCAAGTCAAGGCATGCAGTGGATACACAGCAACCCATTGACGACGATGATCTAGGCCTCTTGCACTGCCAAGGCAACTGGACGCTTCTAGAGGAGTTCGTGGCCCACGAAGTCTCGCAAGGCTGGGTGAAAGCGTTTGAAGGCACTCTGGAAGACGTTGAAGCGCAATGGCCGCAACGCACCGCAGTTGGCAAACTTAACATAGTGACAGCTAAGAGTCGAGACCCTTGTTTTTAGGTTGGCGGTCATGGTACCACTCAACTTGGACTGCTGCCGAAGAGCCCAGCTTATTTCCGTGCGGAGTGTGAACTCGTTTCCGCGTGCCACACAGGATTACCAAAATTCGTCGACATTGAAAGACTTAGCACCGAAGCCGAACTGAATGTTTTCCAATCGACTTTGGTTGGTGATCCAATCCAGGTCTGGATTGGCTCTGAGTGATTCAGCTGTTGCCTCTTGCTTCATCAGCACTCGTCACTGACTCATCTCAATGTTGAGTGAGGCAGTCAGTGGCATTGGTGAGTGACACGGTTACGATGAGTAGCACGATGACTGCGTGAGTGACTGAGTCTGGGAGAGTGAGTTAGTGAGTGAGTGAGTGAGTGAATGAGTGAGTGTTGATTGAGTGAGTGAGTCAGTGAGTGTGTGAGTCTGTGTGAGTGAGTGAGTGAGTGACTTAGTGAGTGAGTGAGTGAGCGAGCGAGTGAGTGAGTGCGTGTGAGAGTGAGAGTGAGAGTGAGAG